CCCTGGGCCCCCAGACTGGTGCCCTGGGCCCCAGACTGGTGCCCTGGCCCCCAGACTGGTACCCTGGCCCCCAGGACTGGTGCCCTGTCCCCCCGACTGGTGCCCTGGGCCCCCAGACTGGTGCCCTGTCCCCCAGACTGTTGCCCTGGCCCCCAGACTGGTGCCCTGGGCCCAGACTGGTGCCCTGGGCCCCAGACTGGTGCCCTGGCCCCCAGACAGGTGCCCTGGGCCCCCAGACTGGTGCCCTGGGCCCCCAGACTGGTGCCCTGGCCCCCAGACTGGTGCCCTGGCCCCCAGACTGGTGCCCTGGCCCCCAGACTGGTGCCCTGGCCCCCAGACTGGTGCCCTGGCCCCCAGACTGGTGCCCTGGGCCCCCAGACTGGTGCCCTGGCCCCCAGACTGGTGCCCTGGGCCCCCAGACTGGTGCCCTGGCCCCCAGACTGGTGCCCTGGGCCCCCAGACTGGTGCCCTGGGCCCCCAGACTGGTGCCCTTGGCCCCCAGACTGGTGCCCTTGGCCCCCAGACTGGTGCCCTTGGCCCCCAGACTGGTGCCCTGGGCCCCCAGACTGGTGCCCTGGCCCCCAGACTGGTGCCCTGGCCCCCAGACTGGTGCCCTGGGCCCCCAGACTGGTGCCCTGGGCCCCCAGACTGGTGCCCTTGGCCCCCAGACTGGTGCCCTGGGCCCCAGACTGGTGCCCTGGGCCCCCAGACTGGTGCCCCGGGCCCCAGACTGGGGCCTTTGGCCCCAGAAAGGTGCTCTGGGCCCCAGACTGGTGCCCTGGGCCCCCAGACTGGTGCCCTGGGCCCCCAGACTGGTGCCCTGGGCCCCAGACTGGTGCCCTGGGCCCCCAGACTGGTGCCCTGGGCCCCCAGACTGGTGCCCCTGGGCCCCCAGACTGGTGCCCTGGGCCCCCAGACTGGTGCCCTGGGCCCCCAGACTGGTGCCCTGGGCCCCCAGACTGGTGCCCTGGGCCCCCAGACTGGTGCCCTGGGCCCCCAGACTGGTGCCCTGGCCCCCAGACTGGTGCCCTGGCCCCCAGACTGGTGCCCTGGCCCCCAGACAGGTGCCCTGGGCCCCAGACTGGTGCCCTGGGCCCCCCCCCCCAGACAAGCAACAGGGGCAGCAGGAACGGGCTAGACAACGCACTTTAGAGTGGCGCCAATTACTAGAGTGACGAGTTAACAAGGGGTGATGAGTGGCCCCCATAGTAACTATTACCGTGGGAGAGTGATGGTGTGTGTGTGGGAGAGTGATGGTGTGTGTGTGGGAGAGTGATGGTGTGTGTGTGGGAGAGTGATGGGGTGTGTGTGTGGGAGAGTGATGGTGTGTGTGTGTGTGGAAGAGTGATGGTGTGTGTGTGTGGGAGAGTGATGGTGTGTGTGTGGGAGAGTGATTGTGTGTGTGTGTGGGAGAGTGATGGTGTGTGTGTGGGAGAGTGATGGTGTGTGTGTGTGGGAGAGTGATGGTGTGTGTGTGTGGGAGAGTGATGGTGTGTTGTGTGTGTGGGGAGAGTGATGGTGTGTGTGTGTGTGTGTGTGTGTGTGTGTGTGTGTGTGTGTGTGTGTGTGTGTGTGGTGTGTGTGTGTGGTGTGGGGAGAGTGATGGTGTGTGTGGGAGAGTGATGGTGTGTGTGTGGGAGAGTGATGGTGTGTGTGTGTGTGGGAGAGTGATTGTGTGTGTGTGTGTGTGGGAGAGTGATGGTGTGTGTGGGAGAGTGATGGTGTGTGTGGGAGAGTGATGGTGTGTGTGGGAGAGTGATGGTGTGTGTGGGAGAGTGATGGGTGTGTGGGAGAGTGATGGTGTGTGTGGGAGAGTGATGGTGTGTGTGGGAGAGTGATGGTGTGTGTGGGAGAGTGGGAGAGTGATGGTGTGTGTGGGAGAGTGGGAGAGTGATGGTGTGTGTGGGAGAGTGATGGTGTGTGTTGGAGAGTGGGAGAGTGATGGTGTGTGTGGGAGAGTGATGGTGTGTGTGGGAGAGTGATGGTGTGTGTGGGAGAGTGATGGTGTGTGTGGGAGAGTGATGGTGTGTGAGAGAGTGTGATGGTGTGTGAGAGAGTGTGATGGTGTGTGTGGGAGAGTGATGGTGTGTGTGTGTGTGTGTGGGAGAGTGATGGTGTGTGTGGGAGAGTGATGGTGTGTGTGTGTGTGTGTGTGTGGGAGAGTGATGGTGTGTGTGTGTGTGTGGGAGAGTGATGGTGTGTGTGTGTGTGTGTGTGTGGGAGAGTGATGGTGTGTGTGTGTGTGGGAGAGTGATGGTGTGTGTGTGTGTGTGTGGGAGAGTGATGGTGTGTGTGTGTGTGTGGGAGAGTGATGGTGTGTGTGTGTGTGTGTGGGAGAGTGAACACTGTGGGGCACGTTTCGACCACCAGTGATGCCAACACTGTGGGGGCCACGTTTCGACCACCAGTGATGCCAACACTGTGGGGGCCACGTTTCGACCCACCAGTCGAAACCTTGGGGCAGCTACAGCACCATGTTTACCTTGGGGCAGCTACAGCAGTGTGTTTACCTTGGGGCAGCTACAGCACAGTGTTTACCTTGGGGCAGCTACAGCACCATGTTTACCTTGGGGCAGCTACAGCAGTGTGTTTACCTTGGGGCAGCTACAGCACAGTGTTTACCTTGGGGCAGCTACAGCACCATGTTTACCTTGGGGCAGCTACAGCACCATGTTTACCATGGGGCAGCTACAGCACCATGTTTACCTTGGGGCAGCTACAGCACCATGTTTACCTTGGGGCAGCTACAGCACCATGTTTACCTTGGGGCAGCTACAGCACCATGTTTACCTTGGGGCAGCTACAGCACCGTGTTTACCTTGGGACAGCTACAGCACCATGTTTACCTTGGGGCAGCTACAGCACCATGTTTACCTTGGGGCAGCTACAGCACCATGTTTACCTTGGGGCAGCTACAGCACCATGTTTACCTTGGGGCAGCTACAGCACCGTGTTTACCTTGGGGCAGCTACAGCACCATGTTTACCTTGGGGCAGCTACAGCACAGTGTTTACCTTGGGGCAGCTACAGCACCATGTTTACCTTGGGGCAGCTACAGCACCATGTTTACCTTGGGGCAGCTACAGCAGTGTTTTTACCTTGGGGCAGCTACAGCACCATGTTTACCTTGGGGCAGCTACAGCACCGTGTTTACCTTGGGGCAGCTACAGCACCGTGTTTACCTTGGGGCAGCTACAGCACCGTGTTTACCTTGGGGCAGCTACAGCACAGTGTTTACCTTGGGGCAGCTACAGCACAGTGTTTACCTTGGGGCAGCTACAGCACCATGTTTACCTTGGGGCAGCTACAGCACCATGTTTACCTTGGGGCAGCTACAGCAGTGTGTTTACCTTGGGGCAGCTACAGCACCATGTTTACCTTGGGGCAGCTACAGCACAGTGTTTACCTATGGTCGTGTGTGTTGCCAGCTCCATCAACTAACCTGCAAGAGCGTAAAACAATCTTTGTTAATTTATATTTAATTCAAATACAACCAAAGATTTTTATATGAATCATCAAACGTACTTAAATTATCTACACTAATTTAAGAGGATAAAAACATAGGCAAGTGCGTGGTGCATTGGTCCATACGAGGCAGCTGCTATTGGTCCATACGAGGCAGCTGCTATTGGTCCATACGAGGCAGCTCCTATTGGTCCATACGAGGCAGCTGCTATTGGTCCACACGAGGCGGCTGCTATTGGTCCACACGAGGCAGCTGCTATTGGTCCATACGAGGCAGCTGCTATTGGTCCATACGAGGCAGCTGCTATTGGTCCATACGAGGCAGCTGCTATTGGTCCATACGAGGCAGCTGCTATTGGTCCATACGAGGCAGCTGCTATTGGTCCACACGAGGCAGCTGCTATTGGTCCATACGAGGCAGCTGCTATTGGTCCATACGAGGCAGCTGCTATTGGTCCATACGAGGCAGCTGCTATTGGTCCATACGAGGCAGCTCCTATTGGTCCATACGAGGCAGCTGCTATTGGTCCACACGAGGCAGCTGCTATGGGTCCATACGAGGCAGCTGCTATGGGTCCATACGAGGCAGCTGCTATGGGTCCATACGAGGCAGCTGCTATGGGTCCATACGAGGCAGCTGCTATTGGTCCACACGAGGCAGCTGCTATTGGTCCATACGAGGCAGCTGCTATGGGTCCATACGAGGCAGCTGCTATGGGTCCATACGAGGCAGCTGCTATTGGTCCACACGAGGCAGCTGCTATTGGTCCATACGAGGCAGCTGCTATTGGTCCATACGAGGCAGCTCCTATTGGTCCACACGAGGCAGCTGCTATTGGTCCATACGAGGCAGCTGCTATTGGTCCACACGAGGCAGCTGCTATTGGTCCATACGAGGCAGCTGCTATTGGTCCATACGAGGCAGCTCCTATTGGTCCATACGAGGCAGCTGCTATTGGTCCATACGAGGCAGCTGCTATTGGTCCATACGAGGCAGCTGCTATTGGTCCATACGAGGCAGCTCCTATTGGTCCATACGAGGCAGCTGCTATTGGTCCACACGAGGCAGCTGCTATTGGTCCATACGAGGCAGCTGCTATGGGTCCATACGAGGCAGCTGCTATGGGTCCATACGAGGCAGCTCCTATTGGTCCATACGAGGCAGCTCCTATTGGTCCATACGAGGCAGCTCCTATTGGTCCATACGAGGCAGCTCCTATTGGTCCATACGAGGCAGCTCCTATTGGTCCATTCGAGGCAGCTGCTATTGGTCCATTCGAGGCAGCTCCTATTGGTCCATACGAGGCAGCTCCTATTGGTCCATACGAGGCAGCTCCTATTGGTCCATACGAGGCAGCTCCTATTGGTCCATACGAGGCAGCTGCTATTGGTCCATACGAGCCAGCTCCTATTGGTCCATACGAGCCAGCTGCTATTGGTCCATACGAGGCAGCTGCTATTGGTCCATACGAGGCAGCTGCTATTGGTCCATACGAGGCAGCTGCTATTGGTCCATACGAGGCAGCTGCTATTGGTCCATACGAGGCAGCTATTGGTCCATACGAGGCAGCTGCTATTGGTCCATACGAAGTAGCTGCTATTGGTCCATACGAGGCAGCTGCTATTGGTCCATACGAGGCAGCTGCTATTGGTCCATACGAGGCAGCTGCTATTGGTCCACACGAGGCAGCTCCTATTGGTCCATACGAGGCAGCTGCTATTGGTCCATACGAGGCAGCTCCAATTGGTCCATACGAGGCAGCTCCTATTGGTCCATACGAGGCAGCTGCTATTGGTCCATACGAGGCAGCTGCTATTGGTCCATACGAGGCAGCTCCTATTGGTCCATACGAGGCAGCTCCTATTGGTCCACACGAGGCAGCTCCTATTGGTCCATACGAGGCAGCTCCTATTGGTCCATACGAGGCAGCTCCTATTGGTCCACACGAGGCAGCTCCAATTGGTCCATACGAGGCAGCTGCTATTGGTCCATACGAGGCAGCTCCTATTGGTCCATACGAGGCAGCTCCTATTGGTCCATACGAGGCAGCTCCTATTGGTCCATACGAGGCAGCTCCTATTGGTCCATACGAGGCAGCTCCTATTGGTCCATACGAGGTAGCTCCTATTGGTCCATACGAGGCAGCTGCTATTGTATGTGCCCTATTCCCAGTGTCCTATTCGCCTTATTACGAACATTTATGCATTGATCCTTTTGTTTGAAATTCTTACTAATCATAACTCCCAGATCCCTTTCGCAATCCGACTTCGCAATCTCAACACCATCTAGCTCGTATCTTGTAACTCTTATCATCATTACCTAGCCTCAGAACTCTACATATGCAGACAAAGTGGTCTACGTAACCAAGCTGATATATAACGTTACATTTCTTCCTGCTGAAGCTTCCAGAAATATATTACAGTGTTCTACTTGCTTTATTCAGTAAATTCATGCATTAATTTTTTTCTCACTCTAAAAGAGTGTTGTCCAGTGTCGCTTGGCAACACAGTGTATGAGGCGACGGTGTTTGGACACGTCCAGGACTTACTCTACCTCTGAGTTAGCATATACAGAGTTTGCTATCTATAGAGCACCTCTATGTAATGCCCAATCACCTCCCATGAGGTTAAAGTCTCCAACAACACACACGCGCACACTTACATTACTGCAGCTTGATGCGTCTTTTCCCAAACTGGTTTACCGCCTGACGCGTTTAAACCACTTGGTCCTTCGAGTCGAATTTGAGCCAT